ATCATGGCTTTAGCCTTTTTCTCATCCGACACTGTTTTTGTATTATCGATGGTTTCCAATAGCCCGTTTCCTCTCAGGTGCATCTTTGCACCTACTGCCCAGGTCATATAATTATTTCCCGTAATATCCAGGGCATTTATTTCGAGCTTTATCAGATTCGACATGATAACTGTATAGTATATAAAATATATTATAAGACGGAATTTTAAATGCAGAAATTAAAAGCATAAATTTAAAGGCATAAAATAAATGCAGAAATTAAAAGCATAAACTTAAAGGCATAAATTTAAAGGCATAAAATAAATTGCAGAAATTTAAAGAACATATATAAAATTGGAGGTTTAGCCTTCCACATGATCCGAGGAGACTTAGTCTACCATGTTGATCACTTTTATCAAGGTTTGAGGAGACATAGTCTGCCATGTTAACCTTTTCTTTTTATTCAAGGTCCGAGGAGACTTAGTCTAACATTTTTGACCTTTCATTTTTATTAAAGATCCGAGGTGACATAGTCATCCATTTTGATCTTTTTATTCACGGAGGCAAAGCCTATCACGTGTTTCTCTGATTGTGACGGCATAGCCATCTTATCGATCAGTCGCGGAAGGCAACGCCTATCATCCCGAAAAATAAACGGAGAAGGCCTAGCCTCTTACTCCGAAACAATAATAAAATTAAGATAATTAAAATTATTGAAAGACATAAATTAAACCTTACCTTATCGGTATAACCTTATTTGATATTGGATCAGAGCTTCGTGCTGATAACGTGTTGAATATCAGTAATCAGAGAAAGAACAACTTTATCACTTATGTCTTCTTGTGTAAACAAAGTAACAAGAGAATTGCGTTGTGGTGTGAAGAAAGAAGATCCAAAATGATTCAACTTGATTATTTTTCACACATCTCACGTCTATTTATAGTACATGAGATTGTCTTAAACAAAGACACCTATTGCTATGATAAGGATACATATTAATATGACTAAGCATGATGAATAAGAGACAAGTGTCCTATTGAATGACTAATCATTCTGTAACAGTGGCTATATTTTTCCAGTGTATATATTTCTGACTCTGGTTCAATTCTTTCTTCTTCTATATTTTACTGAAAACATACAAAATTGTTGTCAAGTGATAAAAATACTTTATCCACAAGAGTGATCCACAAGAAACCGCTTCCTCCAGTTCATAGCTTTCTTCCACGTCGCACGTATGTATCATTATTCAATTGTGATAAACTTTGAAACGAAAAGTGATTTTAAGATTTTAATACTAACTGACGACGTAAATTTCAATATGTTTAGTACAAAGTCAAACCTTACGACATAAAAAATAAAATTTACTCGAAGTTTCCACATGGAACATAGCATTTGTATAAACAAAACATATCATTTACAATAACCAGCAAGAACGCAACACTACAACATGGAAACCTCTAGATCATTGGTTTTGATCATCTTCTTTGTTCACACGATCGTCTCTATCAACTGCAAAGACAAGAACGATCTCGTAACAAACCAAGCTGCTCTGTTCGTGTTCGGGGACTCTCTGTTCGACGCTGGAAACAACAACTACATAGATACTTTCTCTAGATTCAAGTCAAATATCTGGCCGTACGGCCAAACAACATTCAAATCGCCCACCGGAAGAATCTCCGATGGACGTTTGATCCCTGACTTTATCGGTAACGCTGATAAACGTATTCTTGATTCTTGAATATACTCCCTGTTCCTTTCTTTAACTGATTGCTAACGTGGCAGCTGAGTATGCATGGTTACCGTTAATCCCGCCAAATCTACAACCAAGTAACGGTAACAATCAATTTACCTTTGGGGTAAATTTTGCTTCAGGTGGTGCCGGAGCTTTGGTTGAAACCTTCCCCGGAATGGTACGTACATACTGTTGCTGACAGCTTATTACATCAAATATAAAGTCGTTGACTATTAATTGATCTTTATTCCTTTATGACAATCAAGGTGATAAGTTTGGGAGCACAGATAAATAACTTCAAAAACGTTGAAAAGAGTTTGAGATCTAAGTTAGGAGACTCAGAGGCCAAGAGGATTATCTCAAGAGCTGTTTATCTATTTCATATTGGAGCCAACGACTACCTTTATCCCATTTTATTTGCAAATTCTTCCACTTTCCTATCCATTTCTAGGGAGAAATTCAGCGATTTTGTGTTCGGTAACATAACTTCAGCAATTGAGGTAACCTAAAACCATACCATGTAATATTAGTTTAATTTGTACATCTTTAACAGTCCGAACAGAACCCCTTACACCATGATTAACCCAGAATTCTTAGGGTCAGATTCTTACTGGAAGTTAGGAAACTGTTTTTTAACTTCCGCTAAGAATTACATCCTCAAAATCCTGAATTAATCATACTCTTTATTTTAATATTCGCTTGTTTGTTTGTTTGCTTGAAAATGAGAGACTGAGTTTATGTGGTCCTAGGAAGTGTATAAAGTCGGAGGAAGAAAGTTTGGATTCTTGAACATAGGAGCCTATGATTGTGCACCAGCCTCATTGATCATAGACCGAACAAATATAGGATCTTGTTTCAAGCCAATCACTGATCTGATCAATCTACACAACAAGAAGCTTCCTAATGCCTTAAAGCTTCTCGAGCGTAACCTATCTGGATTCAAATACGCCCTTCACGATTACCACACTTCTCTATCCGAAAGAATCAATAACCCTTTGAAATACGGTAGGTCAACTCATACGTTAACCAGTTTCAAAAAAAAAAAAAAACTCATACGTTAACTACATGTAACTATTTGATGTAAGAAACCTCTAATTTGTATTTTTTTTTTTGGTTCAAAGGGTTTAAAGAAGGTAAGAAGGCATGTTGTGGGACTGGACCACTGAGAGGAATAAATACTTGCGGAGGCAGAGTTTTGGGACTATCACAGGGTTATGAATTATGTGAGAACGTTACCGAGTATTTATTTTTCGATTCATTTCATTTGACGGAGAAGGCTCATCGACAGATTGCAGAGCTTATTTGGAGTGGATCGTCCAATGTTACGGGACCTTATAATCTCAAAACATTGTTTGAGTTGAAGTAGAATTCGTCCATGTATGGATAAGTATGAAATAAGAGACGAGATCATTATCTTGTCAAGTTTTATTTGTACTGTTTTTTTGTATGTTGCAAATAATAAAAACTGATGAATGTTACTTAAATATGAACACATAAACAAATTTCTATAACTACAATCACATTTAAATGGAGTCCACAAAAAGCTTAAACGCTAAACAAGACTAGCAAGTCCAGTAAGTAGTTATAATACTAAACATTTTAAACAAGACTAGACTTTCCATGAATCTTGTTGTCGATGGGTTCGGAGCTATCCTTAGTCTCTTACTCTTTCCATATACAGTCTTGATAGAAATCTTCACACAACACCTAAAAAGTTGAAATGGCATCGAAAGCAGAGAATTTTAGTGGTATGGTCTTCTTTCTGAGGCAACCTTCAAGCGTTGTTTTAATATTATTGTTAATAATGAGTGTTAATAATTTGCGGGGAAGAACATGTAAAAGTCTTGGCTGACGCTCTCTAAGACTCCAAGGCGGCATGACTCATTCTTTGTCTGGACTCGGTCCAATTTAGTTTTATAAAAAACAGTACAAGAATATGGTAAAAAAGAGCCCTAAAACTGTGAAAAGAACTTAAATTCTAACTAAAAAGCTGTACATTTTCATAAGATCCGGTGCAAATGCATCTTTTAGACATGCCAAAAGTCGGGTTCATAGTCCATACCAGTATTTTGTTGGGAATGTCCTAAAATCATTTGTACTTACTTTATAAAGTCGTAACGTCGAGAAGAGAATCGTATAAAATTAGGTGGTTATAATGTTTTGCTAGAAACCGCTTATAATCTATGGATTGAGAATTCATTACTAATTTTATATGATCCTACAGGGTCATACACCTAAGCAAACTAGATCAGCAATATTTTGAGGTTGGAATTAATGATATAAGCTAGTTATATCAACGTGATGTTATTAACGTAATAATATGTATTACATATGATGCACACATACACGTAAAGGCTGCGGTAATTATTTGGGCTTGGCCCATAATCATAATTAACTAAACCTATAGTCTAATGCTTCGTACACTCATTATATAATGAGGTTACATGAGGCGATGGCTATTAGGGTTTTGATAATCAGCCACACAACTCAAAATAAGACAAAACGTTTGTTCTCAGAGATTTGATCTTGACGGCACTAGCATCCCGTTTCGATCTAGTTTATGTGTGTGTGGATACCGATAGAGGCACGACGTTTGGAGTGCTAGGAATCTCGACTTGGTCTATTCATCTTTCCGCTGCAGAATAACCAGGTATATTCGAAAAACCTAAAGATCTAGATTATTTCAGTATTGGCATGAGATTCTAGGCAAATAGAATTCATAAGTTGATTTATAAAACGTTATAAATCGGTATGAATTCCTACAGTGGTATCAGAGCAAGCTTGCATAATATTGAAATTGAATTTAGATGAATATAGTTTGTGTATGTATTTGATACATTCGTTGATTCATATTAATGTTTCAAAACAACTAGAACAGACGCTTTTATATATATAGATATATTAGGTTACGGTTCTTGCAACTTGTTAAGTCGATATGTTTGTGTTCATAATAGTATCATTGATGTGATTGTATGAATTATTATAATAGATTAAATGTAATCGATTAATA